GGGGGGGGGGAGGGGGCTGGGGACAGAGCCGTGACGGGAGGCCCTCAGCAGTGAGCTGAAGGGGAGCCCAGCGTCCACTCACTCTAACTCAGCCCTCACGGAGGAGACGGGCTCAGAGAAAGGAGTGGGCTTCTGGCCCGAGAACACGGGCGTGGAGGATTCGCGCTGCTTTCCTCTGCTGCAGAATGAGGCCGCTGTTGGGAATTCTTCACAAAGCAAAACCAGGCCTGGTAAGTGAAGCATGAAGGCGTGATAGGAAGGGTTAGCAAGTTGTTGTTTTGGTGGATTCTGAAATGTATGTGGAAATCCAAAGGACCACGAATTACCAAGGCGGCTTTGAAGTGAAGGGATAAAACCGGAGGACTCAGAGTGCCGGATATCATGGCTTATTATAAATGAATTCTAATTTAATACTGTGGTGTTGGCACAGGGATAGACAAGTAGCATTGTTTTTGACAGAGATGTCATTAACAATATGGTGAGGAAAGGACGGCGTTTACAATAATAGTGATCTTTGTGGCTAAAAAGTATTCTGACCTCTAACTCACATCACATATAAAAATCAGTTTAATATCAGTGTAAATGCAAACATGTCAGGTAAAAACAAGAAGCCTCTAGAAGGAAATGTAGAAGATTTTAAGGTAGGTGGAGGTTTCTTAAACAGTAAGCAGTACACACTGTGAAGGGGAAAATGGTAAATTGGAGACCAGTAAAATTAAGAACTGTTTGCTAGAAGATACCACGAAGAGCATGAAAAAGCAGGTAACGGGGAGAAGAGATTCCTAATGCATTTGTCTGCAAAAGGATTTGTGTCCAATATATATTAAGAACTACGAATTGATTTCAAAATAGAAAAATGGGCAAAACACTGGATCAGGCTCTTCCCACAAGAGGATATCCAGACGGCCAATAAACGTGAAAGAGGCCAAGTTCATTGCCGCCTGGGACATGCAAACAGCAGCAGAATGAAGGCATCGAGGGCATTTCATCCGGAGCCCGATGTGGTCTGTTCCCTGGGCGAGGAGAGCCCTGGGCCTGCTGTGCGGGGAACGGCCGAGGGAGCAGGAGTCTGCAGGGGCCCGGGCAGGCAGGCGTCGGCTCTGTGGTCGAGGAGCGATGCGACGGTTGCTCGGCCTGGGCCTCAGCAGCGCGTTGGTGAGAAGTGGCCCGTTTCTGGTTGCGAGTGGTTGGAGGTAACGCACACCCGTGGGGCTTGCAGATGCATTGGGGTTGAAAGAGAAAAGTCCAGGACGACTTGGAAATGTTTGGCCTGAGCCACCTGGGTGGAAGGTGGTGACGCATCTGAGATGGGCAGTTGGAGGGTGAGGGTGAGGGGGTGGGCAGTGAGGGGACTGCTGCACCCTGACCTGAAGGCAGGGCATCTCACTCATCTCTGCTTTGGGGTATCTAGAACATCAATATAATTGGATAAAAGTGCAGGTTATGTCCTAGTCAATAGTTAATAACTCCTTGATGTTCAATAAACATAGTGAATAAATGCATGTTATTTCTAACACTGGCATTCTTAGACAATGTAAAATTTAAAGGTTAAAAAACAACGGCTTATCGATTCCCTTAGTACTCTGCTCCCTTGGGTTTCCTGCTCTGTGGATGTTTTGTTTTTTGTGAAGACGGTGATTTGACTGGAGGATGGTTTTAGAGAAGCTGATCGGTTGGATATTAAGCTGGACGTTTTGTTTAGATGTTTTCCTCTCTCTTTGCAGTTATTTTGTGATTACAGCTGCTCTGCTGTTTGGGAACTTGATTCAGCACCAGGTTTCCAATGTGTTTTAGTTTTTGGGAAAAATGTTTTCAGTTGTTTAAAATCTTTTATTTTCCGTGATTGTTTATGGAAGTCTTTTTAGGTGTTTGGAACAAAGAATTGTCTTCACCAAATGTTTTTCTTTTGCAGACGATAACATTTTGCTTTAGGTTCCGAATGGAACCACTTAGTGTGGACATCAGTGGGCAGATACCACCCAGGAGGCCCCGTGGAATGCCGGGAGTCCCCAGGCAAACCCCGTGGCCGTTCCTCCTGAGCGGTCCTCTGGGCGGGATGAAGCAAAGCAGGGGGATGCTCTGTGTCTCCTGGAAGTCCTCCATTGGTTTCGTGGTTGTCTTTTTCTGCTTTTCACAAGAAGGCTCCTACCAGAGTATGTCAGCCGACTTCCAGCCATGCAGTCAAACCTGACTTATGATTAGAGGAATCCTGGGAATCCAGGTCAAGTAGTTTAGTTAAAAATACAAGAAACACAGCAACATCTGCATTGTTGGAGAACTTTCACTGTATTTGTGGCCCTGATCACAACTTACAGTGCTATAGGAATTTTATCAATAGATGCATTTGATTCCAAAAAACAGCAGCTTCATCCTGTTTAAATAATGAGGACTATGTAGAATAAGAGGAAATTCAATAGTGTAGCGGGCTTCAGGGATGGTTGATTAATTAGCATGATGTTACCCACTGTCTTTCCTCCTTGGGGCTTTGCTGACCTTGGCAGTGGCTGCTTCCGCAAGCTGGTGTCAGGTGCCAGGCAGGTGCAGACAAGGCAGTGTCCTTAGGGCCCAGGATAACTTCTC